CACTGAAAACCGACCAGTCCTGCCAATTGCCACTTTTTTCCTTTCAGTAACTGGCCAGAGAGAAGTGACATAAATGAGATTCAGGTCAATGACACTCACTTCACCTTGGGAAGCTTTCAAAATGTAGAAGTGGTATGAACCGTAGAGGAAAACCCCCAGGGAAAAGACAAAAGTAGAAAGATAGTCACACGTTCAGAAAACCGAGGAACAGAACCCCTTTCCCCTTAACAGGGGCACAGCAAGGAGGGCAGCGAACAAGAAGCAGAAAAGCAAACGCCTCCAAAATCACCTTGTTTTGTTTGACTAAGGTCTACACCTCCTAAAGAAACGTTTTGGTCCAAACTCCTACAGTCAGGTATCCCAACTTAAGGTCCCAAAGAGGCATTTTGAAGGCATAGCCTGTGTGCCAAGGCTGCTTGCAGAGGCTCTGACAAGGAGCTAGACAGTTAGCTCAGGTGTAACCAGTTTCACCCCAGTCATTAGAGACACCTCACCAAGAGGATCCATACCAGCTTCCAGGCAAACAGGGTGTTACGTGAATTGGAACCGCCCGAGATGTTCCAGAGGGTTCAGAAACACCGTGGGCTCGGGAAGACCACGGGCACTGCTGGAAAACCAGAGTGAAACGCTCACCAAACGAGGGCAGTGCACCGCTGTCACACTTACCTTTGCACAGTGAAGATCCTTGTGTTTTTTGAGCAGTTTATCCGCTTGCTGGATTGCCATTTTATTATTGCCATTATCGAGATAATCTGCGTAAGAACGACACATACAGTGTTATATCAGGACACAAGACCATTCTGGAAAGCTATCTCTAATTTTACTGTGGAGTATGTGCTGTTAGGCCAGTTGTGCAAACAGCCTTTGCCTTGGACAATCACTACTAAGCCAAACATTCAGGAAACATGGCATTGCGCAGATGAAGTATTCATCTTGCTGTACTAGTCTTAGTCATTCAAACAAGCTTTTGTAATTACTCCACATAGATCACCACAGCAACAAAAGAGAGGTATAACAGAGCGGGTTCTGCAGCAACAGCTCTGCTAGCAACGGACCTCACGTTCCTTGCTTCAGTAAAAGTAGGAATTCAGTTGGTGTGCCTCTGGGAGACTTCCAGGGACTTTCAGCCGGCAGTAGGTTAGAAACCAAGCACTCTCCATCTGTCACAGGATTAAGTGAAAAGACCCACTTGTCCACACCATCCCCACTTCAGGCAGAGCAAACCTGTCCGCTGCAGAGTATCACTCTGCTTTCACTACGCTGGTTTTAAAGACAAAAAAAGTGAAGCTTCACCATCTCCCAGGAGGATATCCTACTGTCTAGCAGAACTTCAGCTGTAGAAAACCCTGGTCTCCAGACCATTTTATCCTTTCTTCAGCTCGATATTATAACTTTCAACTTCACCTACAGTGCATCATCATGTTATTCAACAATTAGAGACAAGCAATTTTAGATTAGAGTATGACTCCTACACACTTCCCCTCTCTCAAAAATCAGTACTTACTGACCAAAACGAGCAGAAAAGCTTAGCTGCACCCACCATGCCGACAAGGAAGGGTCTGCTCGCACTGGCCTGGCCTCTCCCCTACCAGACTGCAGCAGAGCTAGTGCCAGTGAATCGAAACTGCATTACACATCTCTTTCTCATCAAGACTGCAGTTCTCACGATGAGAGAACTCTTTTACTGAGCGGAGAGGTGACCTTTAGTAATTCCTTGGTATATGGTACAAAGTGTGCATCTACACTAATGAGATTTATATTTGGCAGCTTTAACATTTGATTCCATGGCCAAGTGCTGCAGATGTAGAGGAGAGCTAATTGGGCTCCGGAGACCATACAGACAAAACCTCAAACGAGGCAGGCTGCCCACACTAACGACTTTTATCAGCAGTTAAATAAGAGTTTCTTGTATTGGTGCAGTGCCGCCTTCTTTCGCCACCTCCAAAGAGAATATAAATAACATTACTTACAATTTTCAGTTTATAGTGCAAAACTAATTAAAGACTGAATACAAATTACCTGCTACATGGCAACACATCAAACCACATGATCTGTACAGGAGGTGAAAAACACCAAATACTTTGTACCTAATCAATACCTGTGGCTAACAGCTAGCCTAAGGTCTAAACTTCACCTTTCAGATTCCACATGCTTTTCCAGCTGAACATAATATAAGGTTCGTGTGAATATCTGAATCATTTTTAAAGCTCTCCTTTAATCTCTTGTACAAATACATACATATTAAAAAAGGAATCTTTTCCTACACATAAAAACCATCAAGGGAAATAGAATAATTCAAGTCATTTCCCATTTGTAGTTACTGAGGCACAAGATATATTTAAACAGTTGGTACAGAAAAAATGGAAAGCATCTACCATATCAATGTACAGCTAGCATGCCAAACCATTAATGTAAGAGCTAAACAAGGGATGAATACATCATGTGCAATAGTCTCACATGATATAAATTATTCAATACCTGACCAAAGAAAACAGCTTTCAGGAGAGAGGGGGAGGATCTGAAAGTACTTGTGCAGTTTGAATAAATACAGTATTATGAACTGATGCAAAATCTTTCTAACTCTACATCACAGTTAAAGAATGGCATGGATTTTCAAACTATTTCACTATGTTACATCAATCCAACTTGTATTCTGATGTTTACCATAAAGGTAGATTTCACCCGATATAGTGCTGAAAATTTTAAAATAAAACGACTGTGAAAATGAAATTACTCGGTACATCAGCAAGCATGTATTTTCAGAATTCATGCTACGTCCCCTCCTTCCACTTGCAGGATTTGATAACGCATAAACCTATTGACATGGCAAGTCTTTTTGCTTTACTAATTTCAAACTGGCTGTACAAAACTTTATTTGGGATTGCTACGCTGGCAAAAAATTAACATATCATACACTTAATTCATGTCAAACAGAAGCCTTTTCTAGACTTAGATAAACAGATAGAAGGCTTTTTAAGTGACAAACTGAACAACAAAAAAAATAGCTACCATTATAAATTTTATCTTGATTACGGGGAATCTGCTGGTGTCACAATTCCAGGGAATGCCTTCAATGGCTGATTTCATACATGATTTTAATACAGTTAATTTCACTCAAACAGAAGTTTATAATACATACTCAGTTTTGGCAACTAACAGAGCAGTTAACGTTGCATTTGGAGACAGTACACTGTTTTTATACTCTGTATTAAAAACAGAAATTCTGACATAGTTTCTAAAAAACAGCATACTTAAACTCCTAGGCATGCTGTCCATATTAATCCATATTATAGTTCACAAAAACAACAACAAAGGTTTTTTCCTAATTCCAAAGTAGACTGGAAGCACCAGAACTATTTTCTTCTATAAAATATTCACAAGTTGTAAACTGTAACTAAGTCATTTATCTGCTGTGTTCTCAATGATTTGATAACTGATATTCTGACACCAGCATTTTACAATAGCCATCTCAAGCCAGTCCTTTCCTCCTGACAAACTGCATTCAGACTTAAGTCATTAAACAACAAATCATTCCCCAGTAAAAAGTGATAACATTTCCATATCTAGCTGCTGCTAATCAGAGAACTCCAACTAAAATCAGAAATAAAACCAAGCTTTCACAAGTACAGTGAAACCTCACAATTCCAAAGCACTTATTTGAAAGACCAATTTCCTGCCTTTGTAATAATATCGGTATTTAGCACACAGACTTCTAAGTTGAAGTAATTACTTCTTTTGATTTGTCTCATTTTGACATACTAGCTTTCAGTGAGAAAAAACTCAAATATGGTTGAATACGTATTTGAAACTAGCAACCACTAAAAGACAGTGATGCCAGGATTCATTAATCCAAACAACAATACGACCACAAAGCGGGGGTCACTGTAAATTACATTTATTACTCTCAAGTTGCACAAACGTAAAACTAGAAAAATTAAAAAAATAAACAAACCACCAAACACCACACCAACCCTAAACAGCAACAACAACAAACACCCACAAAACAAAACAAAAAGACTGTATCAAGATTCCTTTAGGATAATACTGTGATCTAAGAAAATTATTTCTGAAGTATAATTCAAACATTTCCTTCAAAGGCTTTACTTTTTCTAGTGTAAACGAAGCAGTATGTATTAAAAACTTACAGCTAGCTATTAAAATTGGGTTTTTTTCACACCAATAATAATGATGAGTTCAACACCATTCAAGTATCAGAGTTGTGCCGGAACGCTCGGAAATAGCAGAAGGCGCAAATCCGCGGTGAACCTGCTGTCTTTTAGAAACGTGTCTGGGTTTTACCTTGTCAGGTATTAACGTCTTGTAATTCCCCCAACCTTTGCTCAGCTTGGGTTGGAACTAGATGAGGTTTGCGGTCCCTTCCAACCCAAACCGTTCTATGAATCACAGAGTGGTAGGGGTTGAAGGGGGCCTCTGTGGGTCATCTAGTCCAACCCCCCTGCCGAAGTTTCTGATTTAACAGGCAAGATAGAAACCAAAGGATTCAAATAGAAACGAACGCTGGATTTTCAGTGAGGTAGACGTGACGTACACGATGGCAAGTTTCTCTTCAGCAGCTGCGTGGCTCGGCGGCAGAGCTGTAAACACAGAACCCCCAGGCACGCAGTGCTGTGGGCCGTTGTTTCTCCTCGATAACAGCTCCCGTTCTGTGGACGCTCCGGTGCTGGTAACACGTTTCCTGGTAGTTCTTCATGAGGAAGAACTTCTTCCCTCTGAGGGTGACAGAGCCCTGGCCCAGGCTGCCCAGAGGGGCTGTGGAGTCTCCTTCTCTGGAGATATTCCAGCCCCGCCTGGCCGCGGTGCTGTGCAGCCTGCTCTGGGTGACCCTGCTTGGGCAGGGGGTTGGGCTGGGTGACCCACGGAGGTCCATTCCCACCCCTGCCACTCTGTGATTCTGTGATGGAATGTCAGAAGTTGCATCCTGAATACGAGCAACTAAAGAAATGGACTTTTGTTTGTTTTTTCCTCAAAGAGACAGCGGAATGCGCAGTTTCTTGCGGCACCCATCCGGTTTGTGTGCAGGCAGCGCGTGTGGGCAGCTCAGACGCTGCTGCTGGACGTGGCTGGGTTGCCAGGCTGCTGGGGATCTGGCCAGGGAGAAACCTGAACTGTTGTAGTGGTTTTCTTTTGCGATGTGGAACGTGCTAAGCAATAGGTTATCGAGTTCATTTTGGTGTTTTGAAGGCTGATTTCGTGTGTGCAGTGGGGGAATGAGACATCCGTCTCGAAGTGATGCTACCTCTGCCTGCCTGAGGCAGGAGTGAGGGCGAAGCTCCTAGTGCCTCAGTTCTTCTTACACCTTTTGTGTTTGTAAGCCTTGCGTCCTCCTCGAGGTAGGAAAATGAGTGTCTTGGAAATGAAGAGAGTTGGGGAGTTTTGCCTGCAGAGTGATATGGTTACTGCTATCATTCCCTGAACAGATCTGGCCTAACAGGACGTGTTATTTGTTTTTTCCAAGCAAAGCACTGTTTGACCTCTTACAGCCAAGTTATTTTCAGGAAGAGACCGATCTTCTCTGATTAGTTTATACTTGTTTGTGCTGCAAAATCTCTCTCTCACATAAGGAAGTAAATCCACCTTGATGTTATCTTAATGCAATGTGGAAACGGTGACCTTTGCATGCTATATACTTTAACGTCCCAGCTATAAAACAACGTGGAGGCCTGGCTGGGCTTGCCCGTCTCATTAGTTAGCTATCTAAAATCATGAACTCATACAAAGCTTTCTTAGGATTTTTTTTTCCATGGAAAAACTACTTGAAACTTTTGTCGGTGCCTTTTCTGAAAAGCAACCTCTGTGACTTTCTCTAGCAAAAAGGATGTTCCTGTTGCTAATTTCATCATGCATGAAATCCACTGTAGGAGAAATATTGAAGTGTGCCGCTACTGCAGTGAATTAATCCCAAAGTCTGAAATGAAGAACCATATTGAGTCTGAACACGTACAGGTGAGAAACAAATTCCTCCTCTAAAACTGCTGACTTCTGTGGCAATTAATCTAATGAGGTCTGTTTATTGTAGGTTACCTGCAAGTGTAAGTTGAAGATAGAAAAATGTCTCTTGAAGGATCACGAGGTTGGTGGACTTTATATTATTACACACTTGGAAGATACTCTCTGGTATTTCCAAGCACTGATCCTAGAGCCTTTCTGCCAGCCAAGACCTGGTTTCCAGCCTGTGATTTATGCATCCTTTTTCTTGAATTGTTCTTCCTAAATCCACACCCTCTGGGAGAAGGTGGTTGGAAACTGCATCAAAGTGGTGCAGCCTGCTCAAGTCTTTGTATCAAAGGGGTATCTGTGATAATTGGCGATTTTGTCCTTGTTAGTGATCAAGATGAAAAATGGTAGGCTGTTTCAGAAGTACAGAATATGATTAGCTTGACTTTTTTCATTCCTTTCATGTTTCTGACTCTACTGCAGTCATTATGTGAGTTTTAGTAACTCATTGTGTCCAACAGACTTTGAAAATAGCTTGTAAAATAAACTCAGATAGGACACAGTCAGATTTTCGGAGTTTCTGAATCCAGTTGGCTGCCGTCACAGGCAATCTTGGTATAAATGTCAGTGCCTTCCCTTCCGGTGGGCTCATTTAAAGACAGCTCTGGAAGTGCCACACGAGTCTGCTTAAAGGTGACGAAAAAAAGATTCTCTTTGAAGATATGTCCAGTTCAAAACCCTGGAAGTAGTGTATCTTGCACGTTTTTCTGTGGTGCTTGTAGTTTTGTTTGTGAAGCAATTGCTGATGTGTTATTGCAGTGTCTGCAGTTATAATGTGTATTTCGTCTATGTTTAACCCCTTTTGAAGGGCAACTTACCTGTCTTTCAGCGCAGGGTAAAGAACATATGCCAGGAGTCCTTGCTGAGTAGTAAATGTGCTGTAAATCTGTTCCCTAATATTACACACACCAAGACACTTTTTAGCAGTACTCAATGAAATGTGGTCAGTACTGGATGTCAAGACCGTATGTAAAAGCTAACTTCAAAAAACACCTCATGATTCCGCTGTCCCAGCGTTACAGATTTAAAAAGAATGTTCTGAGTATTCACAGTGCTTCAGCTGACACCTTTATAACCGCACAGGTTATACCACGCGTTGTTCTTGCATTTCTCATGTAGTATCTTATTCCAGGCTATTCTTTAGTGTAGCTTTGGATCTGGCTAAAGAAACAATAGACCGCTCAACTCTGAAGCAAACTGAGAACCTCCCTCCACCTTGCTTCTGTCTTCCGTACGCGAAGAATAATGCCTCTGCCTTTTTCCAGGCGTCAGCTTGCCCTCTGCGTCCTGCCGTCTGCCGGTACTGCGACATACAGCTGGCCTTCAACAAGCTCCAGGAGCACGAGAACTACTGCGGAGCTAGGACCGAGAGATGTGGTGGGTGCGGCCGTAACGTCATGGTGAAAGATCTAAAAGAGCATCCTGGAGTCTGTGGGCAAGAAGTGAAACAAGTAAGAGGAAGCAGAACAGTGCCTCGCTTCGAGGATGAGGATGTGGATTTGCGCGCCCTTCGAGACGCTAGAAACCGACTGAGCTCAGGTAACTGTGCTGGGCCTTTGTGGAGAATGGCCAGTGTGCTAGAAAATCAGACTTACAGCAGCTGCTTAGGAGACAAAACACTTAAGGACATTAGCAGAAGAAGTGTTTCAGCAGTACAAAGAGATCAAAAGCAAAGTAAGGTGTAGAGAAGAGTGAAAATTGGCTTCTAATGTGACATTTGGCAGCTGATCCGAGTGTAAGGTTTTGTAATTGCTTTCTGCCGAAAATACTGGACAATGAAAGCTCCAGAGGCAATGTGAGTGGGACTGTTTTACCATGGAATAGGACTGCAAGGGTGTAAGCCAGCTAAACAGCGGGCTGCCGAGCTGCCCGGTGTGAAAGCCCAGTCCACTGCCTGTTCTTTTGTCTCCAAGTGTCTAGCCTAACAGTGAAATTGGAGTTGTTGGCTCCTTGCAGATTCTGTCCGTTTCTGTTTAGCAGCTGCACTCCTCTTTACTTCAGCGAAGCAGAAGGGTAGGCAAGATCTGGCTGTGGGTTCACCTACGTCGTGCTGTGCGTTTCTGCAGTAACATCCTGTCAGGGCATAGCTGAGACTCTTGTCAATGCCTCCGCTCTTTCCGAAGCCTCTGGGCTCTTGCCTCCGTGTGCGGCGGGTCGTGTCGTGCTTAAGGCATTGCCTTTCCACGAGCTCTCGGCTGAATCCGTGCTCTGCTTTACGCCGTGGGCCACTCCCGGGGTTTAGCACTGCAGAATACTAAATTACAGTCTTTGCTGTAGAAGACTGCCTGGCTTGTAGAAGCAGCTTCTGGGCTGAGTTAATAGAACTGAACAATCTAGAGAGCTGTAGCTTGTCGGCCACTTATACTGCATTCCAGAGAGTGTGCACAAGTAGTACTTTTATGCACGTGTAAGCTTTCTTTAAAATTCTCATGTGATCACTGCACATGAAATACCAGAGAGATCTGAAATAGGGCAGCATGGGGGAGGAGGACTTAGCCTTTCTTTAGGCATCATCGGTTGAGTCTTGGGCCCTGTTCTGGAAGCCTGGTTTTCTTTTTAGTGTAGCTTTCCTATCAGAAAATACTGTGTGGTTTTCCTCTGTGCCTATACAATTCCCACTGTTGTCAGATGTAGTATCACTGAAAGGCGTTTGGGTTTCCATCGATGTACTGAAGAAGCAAAGCTGAAGTGTTTCAGCCTTGTACAAGGGACGAGGCTACAGTATATTAACTGGGCCTTGTTCACAGTGGAGGTCACAGAAGGTTCCTCGGTGAATTTGTAAAGCTCCCAAGATGCATAAGTTCAAGCTTTTGCATTAAGAGGAGGAACCTTCCTCTTTCTCTCCTTTTTTTGCTTTTTGCAAACAAAAATAGGATGATTGTTTCCCTTCTTCCTCCTGAATTGATACAGGTGTCCTTCTGGGCTTTGAAACGCTGACCTCCATGAGTGTCCACTGGCACGTGGGAAACCCTCATGGCTGAGCCAGTGTCATGCACAGAAGTGAACTGCTTTTTGCAGATTGAACGTTCTCTCAAATTTATGGTATTTGTCTTTTTGAAGAGGATGAACTGGAGCAGTTGACAAGGAATGAAAATGCTCGTTTGTCAGTTTACGAAGAGTGGGACGCCGATTTAGACTACGTGTTGGCTCTTAGCCTACAAAACGAGAATAATCCTCACAGTAATGCTGCAGCTGGAATTCCCAGTGACTTCTGGGAATACTACACCAAAGAGTCTGTGCCATCGGCCTGTCTTAATGAAACGGACAAGGCAGCCATCTTCTCCTGGGACTCTTTAGTGCCCTTTAGCACGTCAAGCCACATAAAAAGTAAGTATAAATGCTGTTGGGGTGGGGTTTTTTTACTTTGAGGGAAGGGAGAAGGAAAGAGAGGATTCTTGGATTGGGAATGTCAGAGATTAGCTAGGTGTTTTGAAATGCCAAAATTAGTCTCTCTGAGGCTCCCTCTAAATCATTTTTAGGTGATACACAGGAGATCAGACTCTTCCTGAGTACCATTCTTCCTTCCTTTCTTAAATTGTATCTTCTGCTCCCTCGTTAGTGTTTAAAATAGTTCCTTTCAAAGAGGTATTACTAAAGCAAGACAGCAAGGGAAGAAGAAATAAAAGCTATGGTGAATTTCTGACCTTGATATGTGGCGAGAGATTCGTAACAACCGAGTGGGTCACAACTTTCTTGTTGAAGTAAGGGTTATAGGAAGGGCGGATCTGGGGGAGCCCTGAAGTGCCAGCTTATTTTGGAAGGAGAAATGGTACTGAAGGATTTACTGAAGGCTTTTTTACCAGACTGTTGGGTATATCTTTGACCCCAAAACATTGCTCTCACTCTGGGTGATGTGGATTTGCTTATGTGAAATTGAGCAAGTGGGAATAGAGTAAGGATTTCCTTCGCCTTTGCTCTCGTTGCTATCCTGTGGCACAGAACGGGAATTTCGAAGATAAGTCGATCCAGCTGCATCAGATGTGTCTATGGCAGAGGATATAACCATTATTTACTTTGCAGGTGACGAGGTCATCATGTTGCCGTGTGAGTTTTGTGAGGAGCTCTACCCTGCTGAAGACCTGATTCTTCACCAGGTTTAGTACTTCCTTCTATTCTGTCGGGGGGGTTGCAGTAAAGACTTTTTTCTGCTGCCGTGATGGGACAAGAGTGCAGTCCTCACTCTGTGATACTGTGAGGATTCTAGTGATTTGGTATTTGCAAAGCGTGGTTTTTAAAATCTGTCTGTGCTCATCAGGAGGGCTAATTTTCCCATGTTGCTTGCATAACAGACAGGTTGTAACCCAGCAAGTGCCTTTGCCTCATTCAGTAAAAGAAGTTCTCCAAATCCACGGGAATGTGATGGTCTGCGTGCCGTCAGGTCCAAAAGCTGTAGATCACCCTCTTCATCCCAGCCGCAAGCTGCCCAGGCAGAAGGAACCATTATGATTCCGTGTGAATTTTGTGGCATCCAACTAGAAGAGGAGATACTCTTCCATCATCAGGTACTAAACAGAACTTGAACTGTTGTATCGCAGCCAGTTGTTCAAGAACTGTGCCAAGTCCCGTGGCCTCTTGCTGTGGCACATTTCAGGAATCCAAGTAATGGCCCCCTGTGTCAGATCTTCCTATGGGTCCCACCTAAAATGTTGTGGTATGCTGGGGCACTTACTGAAAAATACCAATTGTTTTTGAAAGCCCTCATACCAAAAGCTAAACAGAAGGCCCTGAAATTGCACAATATGAATGTTTGACTTGCACATAGAAGTTATGTTGAAAGCAGGATGTATGAATCACAGCGAAGGCGGGAGAGGAGCACAAGCGTATGAGCAGTGTTAGGAAGAGAGGAAGCAGGCAACGCAACTACAAATGTAGGAGATGGAGGAACGTCTCAAGGGGTAGATGTAAAGAGAGAGAGGGGGTAAGAGTGTGAATATGTCAGAAGCTCAGCCGAATAGCAGTGGTGGGTTTATGTAGCAGCGGGTGCTGCAGGGTGCTCCCTGGGATGTTCCGATTCTTCTATACATCGCTGTCTGATACTTCTGTCATGGAAAGGGCTCCGGGCCTTGGTACTGCTGGAGCTGCTACTGCTTTTCAAGAACGCTGGGCAGATACCAGCTAGACCGCTTGGCGCTCGAATGCTTCTCGACTCCTGTTCAGGGAGCGGTGTGCCCGTGGAAGAGACAGTCCCCTGGGATTTGCTGTGAATACAGACAAGTTATGAGAACGCTGAGCTGGCTCATTTTCTGTTTCACGGCTGTTTCACCTGCTTGCAGTCCTAATAACAAACTAGTGAAGCTGTGTTTTGTTTGTTTGTCTTTCTAGGCCTGTCCTCTCCTTGGTAATTGTAAACGCAATATTAATAGAAGTGAAATCGGATAAAAATCTGTAGCTTAGCCTTTGCTAAACAGTAGTGCTTGACACCAAGGAGAAGTCCCATCCACTTCTGTCCTGGTTTTGGCTGGGATAGAGTTTGTTTCCTTCCCAGCAGCTGCTGTGTTTTGGATTTCGTATGGGAGGAATGTTGATAATACACCGATGGTTTTAGTTGTTCCTGAGAAATCAGGGACCTTTTTCTAGTTTCCCATGCCTGGCTGATGAGCAGGTGTGCAGGAGCTGGGGGGAGCATGGCCAGGCCGCCAGCCCAGGCTGGCCATGGAAATAGTCCCCGCCACAGGCGTCACGCCCGGTTTATGAGTGGGGGTTGGCTGGGGGACCCATGAATTCCAGGAGTTCGGCGAGTTCCACAAGCGCTGCTCGGGAACAGGCTGTGCCATCGGTTGTTGGGTGGTGAGAAAAATTGTATTGTGTATTGCTTGTTTTACATATTCTTTATTACTATTATTATTGCTATTCCTTCCTTTGTTGTCTTTTAAACTGTCTTTATCTCAACCCACGAGTTTCCTTCTTTTCCGATTCTTCTCCCCATCCCACTAGGAGGGGGCGAGAAGAGAGCAAGCGCGTTGCTGGCTGCTGGGTTAAACCACGCCAACTTGCTCGTACAGTTGACTGTTGGAAGACTTTATTTTTTTCTCACCCTATCTAACTATTGTGGAAGTGCAGAATGCAAAGATGGCTTTATCTGCCAGCTTCTAATATTTCTGGTGAAGTTGGTGTAGGGTAATTGGGGCTTGTTAAGAATTAGTTACTGGAGCCGAGTTGCAACGATACAGATTGGCTGCAAACAAGGAAAAGGACACCCGGTATTCAAAGATTTGTGTTCCAAGTAGTACTCCTGTAATCGAACAAAGGTAACAAGTGTTTTCCTTTCTAGTTCATATTTTTGTTTTGTGTCCTGTGGGTTTCCATCTTCTTGTTTGTTCCCTGATGGAATTCACCTGCAGAAAACCACGGCTTTATAGCCAGGATAGCCAGCTTCAGTGGGCATCATGACTTGGAAATCACTTTGAACGTGATTTTTGTCCTTGAATTTGGTTTTTATGATAGCACTGATACCGGGGACGTGCTCAGAACTACCGTGACAGTACTTCACACGCTCCCCGTGCTTGGGACTGGCATGGCAGGGTCGTTTTTAGGCGTGGGAGGCAGGAGGCTGAATAAGGGAGCGTCTGGCTGCTGGCTGCACCGTGAGCTCCACGCGCAGGGTGGTTCCGCTCAGCGGCACCAGTTCACGCTGCCGGTTCCATTTTTGCTCCGGCCCTGTGACAGCTCCTGGTTATTCCTAAGCTCTGTGTAAGAGAAACTGCGGGTGTCGACACGCGATACCTGCCTCTTCCTAAACACACTTCCCTCCCGACTGTCATCTTCCTGAGGGGCGATGCTCTGCGGCGTTTTTACGGGAATCGGTCTGAATGAGCTGGCATTCCGACACTCAGCTGTGTGTTTCGCCTTAGCACCACTGCGCCCTGCGCCCAGCCAGCCCGGCCGCCCGCTTCCCCTCGCTGCTGTCTCCTGCAGCCGACAGAGAGAGCAGAGAATCGCCAGAGCTGGCGCGGAGACGACTCCGGCATCAAGGTGCGGGCAAAACGCGGGCTCACGCGCGCTCTTTTCCTTCACGTTCGCGGGAACGCTGTGCGCGTTCCGAGCTGAGTAGGTGGCGTTACCCTGTGCTGTCTCCAGAATTTAAAAATCTTCAATCCTCTACCGTCAGTCTAGTTTTAGGCAAGGAAGATTAAATCCTTGAAACTCGGTATCCTCAGAGATCTTGGCTAGGAAGCTGTATGCTGCTGGAGTGGAAATGAGGTCTAGTTTTGTTATCTGAATGGTGTCTAACGTCTCATGCTGCAGTTACTATTCCTGTTACTGATTAACTCCTATTACTAGTTCCTATTCCTAACTCCTACTCAGCGCTGTATTCTTGTCCTCTCAGGAGATGTCTCTCCCTGGTGCACGGAAGGCTTTGGGCAGCAGAGGCTCAGCCATCCTGTGCGAGGGACCGAGTCACCGAGTAACACGGCAAACGCCTGGAGCGCACCGTTGTCCTCTTCGGCGAGGGCCGGCGATGCTCCCCGCTCGAGAGGGAAGCCCAGGAAGGGGGCTGCCAGCGAGGGGAAAGCGAGGAACAGAGGCGCGAGTGACACTGCAGCTGGGACAACGCCGCGTGTGAGACCGACTCGGAATGTTCATCCAGAAGACTTCACACCCAGCTTCTCGAGAACTTCTGCAGCCCACCCGAGGTAACGCCGTTCTCTTCGTTTCACGCAGCCACGCCAGCCCTGCCCTGAGGGGAAGGGACCAGCGGCACCGCAGGAGCAAGGTTTGCTCCTTGTAGGAGCTTGATCCTCAGAGGGCAGCAGCCCAGCAGCGGTGAGAACGCCGTTCCAGCCCTCGGCCTCGTGCCTTACGGAGCAATCCGGGTTCCCTCGGCTTTGCCTGGGGCGGGAAGGGTTTCGCTCGGCGCCATCGGCCTGGTGCTCACCCCAGCGTCAAACAGCAACCGCAGGCTTTTGTGTCAGCGTGGGCCAAGCGGTCGCTGGAGGCGATGCAGGATGGCGCCTCGGCAGCTGTCCCTTGTAGCGCTCAGCTTCGCTTTGCGCTTCGCAGAGGGTCTGGGGCTTCTGCAAATAACCGGGTCAGGGTGCAGGAGAAGGAAGGGCGTCTTCCTCGGCTTTCCTAAGCACCCTGGAGGGAGGAGCCGTGTTTGTTCAGCGGTAAGAGCACTGAAAGCCGAGGCTTGCTTCCTCTGAGGGTGTCCCTGTTCTTCTGCAGCGCCGGCGATGGAGGAGGAAGGAGCCTTGCGCTGTTGGGCGTTCCCGCTGGCTCCAGCTGCAGGAGCACGCAGGTAAGGCAGCCCGCGCGCGGCAGGAGAGCCGTGCTCCGCTCTGCGGGGCCACGGCCCACACGCCTGCCCGGCTGCGACGGTGTTTTACGGTCCTCGCTGCTTCAGTGAGGTTTCCAGCGCTTGCTTGTTATCAGGTACTCTCTGAAAACGGCGTTTTGCCTTTGTTTTTCCCCTTCCCTTTAGGCAAAAGCCCAGAGCCCAGCACCTGATCCCCCGGAGAAGTGACCCACGGCGCAGACAACACGCGTTGAGCACTCTGATTTATCCGAGCGCAAGTAAATTCCTGTATCGCCATGGCCTTGAAGACTTTACAAATTTAAATTTTTATAGGCAGTGATCATTTTATATTTATGTATGTATTTTTAATTATTTGAGGGCTGTCTTGTAAAATGCTTTTTAATGCCACGTTAGGCCGTGCTTTTTAAATCCCTTGTAATAAAATTTATCTATGGTGTCCTGAAGCCGCTGTGCAGTACAAAGGTGGGACGCAAAGCGTGGTGGGCTCACGGACGCCCGTGGGGAGAGTTTGTCGGGATGCGCGTGCCGCTGTCGTTACCTGCACTGGAGCCTGTCCGAGTTCGCTTTGTGAGCGCTGGTCACAGCCCTTGTGCTTTGAGAACTGATAATGCAAAAGCTGGGGCGGGCTGCTCTTAGCTAATGACTGGGGGCAGCAGGCTAATTAACTGGGTATAGCAGGGCTAACAAGCCAGCTGACTTCCCAGGGCAAGGCTGGGACTGGAGGCCCTGCCCCACCCGCTGCAGCACGACAGGCTAGCGATGGTGGACGTGACCTTCGCTCTAAAATAATGACATTTTACAGGTGCTTCCACCAAACATAAGCATTTATTTATACAAGAAAAGCAGAATAAAGGTCTTTAGAAACAGGTGGCAACCAGCCTCGTGCTGGCATTGCTGGGGAGAGCGGCTCTGGCACGGGAAGGGCAGCAGGACACCGCGTGCAGAAGTCGTTAGTATGAAAAGTTGTATCGCTAACGACTGAGCTGGCAGCCTGGCTTAGTCTGCGTTGTTCCCCCGGCACGAGAAACGCTGTGCTTTCTCCGTTAAGAGAAACGTTCCCCTCCGTTGCACTTGCTTTTTCCCTTTTGTACAAAATATTTACAGTCCTGTTCCGAGTAAATACAAATTCCAGCGTGCTCACCCACCGCTGGGGGATGTGACCGCAGAGACCCTGCCACCCGGTTCCAGCAGGGCGGTGGGAGGGTTCAGGATTGTCTGCAGCCCCAAAGAAGGACACGATACAGCTCAAGGGATGTTAAGAATCTCCTTTATGCAAGTGTACACTGTATGGCCAAGAGCACTTAACAGGTTAATGCTGTGTACGGTACCAAGATGGACACACACCAAGCTAGAACTAATACCCAGCTCCAGAGTTTTTCCATTATTTAGTATAATTTTTACATTCTGAATGAATATATTTTAAAAAAAAATAATAATCACAAACCAATCTTTGCTTTGACAAACAAGCCTATTACAGACAAGGTCAAGTCCATTTAAAGCACAAGGAAGTAATGATGATTAGAAAAGCTTTAATTAAAAGGCCATTTGAGCTACGGTCGAACCACTGCAGCACTCCCTTCCGAGTAACATAAAAAAAAAAGCCCCCCCCAGCTCGCTCTCCTGCAGGGCTGCTACCGTCCTTGAGCCGAAACGGAAGTCAGTGAGGGTTAGGTATCGGCGTGACCTTGTCCCTGTACAAGGAGCTTCATTTACACAGCAAGGTGTAAACAGCATCGACTAAAAGTTTGTTATTTGTCGTCATAAATAATTAATTGTAATAAATATGTATCAAGTAACTTTACAGCACGCATTTCAGGGCCCCGACGCAGAGAGGCTCCGCTCAGACGTGCTCTCTGGAAGGAGCAGGCAGGCAGCAGCTGCTGTTTCTCACTCGCAGCCTCGAGGCCCCTGGCACGCCGAGTTCCCGAGCCCCTGCCAGCGAGGTGTTCGCGCTGCGCGTCCGCCCGCAGCACCGGGACTTGGAACGGGCGAGCGGAGCCCGACCCACGGTCCCATCGCCAGGAGGGAGCCCCAGATGGATCCCTGGCAGCGGCCGTGACACGGACCCAACGGGAATTCAGCGGCTCCTCGGGGTTTGGCTTCCCCCTGCTCTCCGTCAGCTCCACGCGCGCTGGCGCCGACTCCGAGTGATTCTCAGCTACCTGTCTGCTTCTACCAGGAAATGCACAAGACTCAAGAGTAAATATTCTTCTGACACGCATCTGTTCCGCTGGAAGGGCGCTACGCAACAGGAGGTGACACCGCTTTCCTCCCCCAGGGGCTGGAGACTCCGGCGCCAGCGACTGTCTCTACCACCGGTGCACGCACGCTGTCCCATTCGCTCACAGAAGAACAAGAATATACAGACAGGTTTAGGCTTTCCTCTTACGCACATGTCATCTTCCAAGCACCACGCACTCATAATTCCCAATATTCACAATAATATACAATAAATACAGCTTTTCCCATTCCCAGCCACAAG